AAGGTGACCGTAATTAGATCCACACGAGTGAGGACTTCACAGCCTCCCATCACTGCTCTGCTGTGTTTGTGAATCTAATTGTCGCACCCTGTGCTGTATCAGCTATGGCTAAATATCCTGTAGATTTCGCAGGCCGCCATCTTCTTTTACGTTACACGTAAATGTGGCCAAACATAAGAGGCTAACTTTCCAAGGCTCTGTGCACTTCGCTCTTTTGCTGGGGAGTTGTCCTTCATATCCCGGAATGTGAATAATCTGTACTACTAATTAAATCTACCGAAGACAGATTTGTACATAAGGGAATATCTGTAGTTGTGAGGAGCTCGTAGCAGAGGAGACTCGCTCCAAAACCATTCCGTCAGAGAGGATAATAATTAGTTCCTCGCTCACTCATTCACTAACCTAATTATTAACACCGCGCGGGCTGCCTCACCCTGCCTGTGAAGTGTCGATAATAGGATCTGAGCGAGAGAGGGCCTGTTGTTGGGGAACGGTGGGACTACAGCGAGGGAGACCCCCTGACCCGGGGGTCATGCCCTCCTGAGAACATGTGTGTATCACACAACTCTTGGACAGATCCCGTATTGATCTAATCAGAGCAGTCATAAATTTGCCAGAGGAACTATGCCACTCAGTCTGTGGCGTTTGATAACTTTTCATACTGGCAAGATTCCACGACGTTGACGAGTGGACAAGAATTTCAGTATTGCTTACAGTAGGAAAAGCTCCGTTCTGATTCCGTTCGTGTTCAAAGTCTGTAGTCTAATGTAGGATATATCCTTTGAACCACAAGGACGATGGCGCAGTCCAGGGAACACGACGGGACGGGATAGGACAGGCCCAACCAGCTCCACGCAGCAGGGTCCTCGAGAAGCTGATGGTAGCTCAAATAGCGAAGAATTTCTGCTCTGTGGAACCCGGAGGTTCATCGCCGTGTTCACAAGAGCCCGCCACCGGTTCCTCTCCTGAGCCAGATGAATCCAGTCCATATCATCACGCTGCACTTATTTTAAGATACATTTTAATATCATCCTCCTTTCTAAGTCTTGGTCTTTTCTTCCGGAAAGGACTTTGAATGCATTTCTCGCCCCTGCCACCCGCAGTACACGCCCGCCCTGAAGCTCCCCATTACGTAGTTTTTCTGTGATGTTTGTGACTGAGAAAAAATGTAATTTTTGCCAGAAGCGAGCCAGCCAAGTCTGCGTTCCTCTTAAGCGCGGTTTTAAGCTGTTGTCAGTCTCAGGCGACAGCCGGCAGACGCCGTCACTTTTTCCCCGCCCGTGACAGGACAAAAGCGACGTCTCGCTGTCGTATGACGCGCGTTGCGGTGTGGACTACATTCTGGGGCGCAGTTTGCAGACAAGACGTGAAACCCCGCCCCTTCTGCACTCCATCCGCACGCGGTCCAGATAATTGCGCTGCGGCGTGAAAGTGTGCAAAGTAGATCGTTCTAGCGTGTTTGTCTTTTTGTTTCGTGCGCGCCATAAGACATGGGACAGCGCCCGCGGCTGTCTGTTTCGCTTATTAAACCCAGTAAATCACGCAGTCCGACTGTAACATTGATAGCGGGAGGGGGGGGGGGGTGCGCCGAGTAGGCGCTGTCTCGTCGTGCAACTGATTTTTGGTTCCGTATAATATACAACTCGGCCTGCATGGATCAGAGTCCTTGAGAAGCTGACAGTCGCTTAGGCGAACACAAAATTATCTTCCTTTCATTTCCGTCCTCCGAGGTGTACATTGTCTCGAACTTGTTTTGAAACATTCATTCGTACTTCAGCTGTTTATCGACACTGTTTTCAGTTAACTCGAATTAGTCACCGAATTTGGTACGAGGCTGCCGTGGCCTGTTTTATCACTGTCCATTCACCTGCACACATTTCGCCTTGTCGAGCCGTCTGGGTGTTTGTCTGCACGCAGGCGCCTTGGCATTCTTATAGCCGCATCACAGTCACATTACTATGTAAGGACTGATGTGTGTTTTGCTGGAAATTTAATGAAAGCGGCGACAGGATGCGTCAACAGCATCCACGTTGATTCTTCGCAAGATGTCTAAGAACAAAAAACGTGGATGCGTCACGAAAAAATTTGATCTAAGCTGGAGTCGGAATACAGCAACGACGATGCGTCGCCGAAAATCGGAATGTCTCTTATTAATGGAACCAAGTCACGCAGATAAGAAGCACAGGCGCTCTTGGCAGCATTCCTTCCTTGTAAACTACTTGAAGACTTATTTCTTGTTCTTACTTAGCATCCGTCGCCCGCTCTCATCTCATCTTCGTATTACGTCAATATGCATTGCCCCGGTCTGCATTGTGGGTATCTCCCGACAGTCTGACTGCTCGAGGCTTAAGCCACTCGACGGGAATGGAAAACTGTCTTGTAATTTTCTTAGTGCTCCAAGACCGATCAAACGACGCTGAAGACCAAAATGTTGTCGTGTCTCGCAGTGCACTGAGTTCTAGGGTGCTGTGCGCGTTGTTCTGCGGTTTGCAATGAGAAAACCCGCCACTGGCGAAGACTGACTGCGACTGGTGACTGATTTCAGTCATGGTTGTTTGGTGAGTAGTGACTTCGAACGGTGGTCATTCAAAGCACGATGGATGATCGCAAAGAGCTTGGGGGGAGGGGAATTTTAAGAACATAAGAAGTTTCGAGGTGCGTATTTTTCCGACGTTCCTTCCCCGTTTTATTACGAACGTTTCCGTTAAGCAAACTCAGCGATTTCCCCCCCCCCCACAAGGAAAATCTGTAGCAGTTGCTTGTGGCGGCGTTTTTGACGAACGCGAAAACACACAAGTTGAAGGACTGAGAACATGACGTGAAGACACACTAATGTTGAGTTGGCTCAGGGCAGTGACCCGGGGTGGGCTTTGGTATTTGAGGCAAATTATCTTGCTCCCCACTCCCCAAGTGATGTAGCCCGTATTTTGAAATCGGAAATGTAGCTTCGTCCGACTCCTGTATTTCTAGTGTGAATGAAGCAATCAGCTCCACCCACGCTCTGGTGACACGGGTAGTTCGCGCGTAGCACGCGCGGGAGACGTGACAAACACTATAACTTACATACAAAAGGAAAAGGCTTTCTGTTTTCGTGTGACAAATGCACCAATACGGGCAGACTAACGTCTTCTTTCGTGCTTGCCCAATTACAAATTTTAATCGAAATCTGGAGACGGAATTGACCCGCCACTCATGTATCAGTGCAGAAAGGCACAAAAATATTCACCAAAATGTAAGCTGACTGTACACGGAGACCAAATAATGAGTCGTAGGCTGTGTCCACTTGGAGTGTGTGCACAGACATGCCCTGCTAAAACCTCTCATGGTTCCCCGCTTCGCTAATGCGAGCGAGCGAGAGACGAGTTGGTCCCCTACCGTTCTGTTCAACTTGGTTACGTCCAAGTGGCGGGCCCATCATCGCCAGAGGACGCTTCACTTGCAGTGCAAGGCAAACACGTGAAGCGAAGCGGACAAGTTGAGTGAGCGGTTCTTCACTCTCCGCTGCGCCCGAACAGCCACCAGGGGTCGCGAGGGTATTTGTGCGTGTTCCTCGTGACCACCGATGATCGTACTCATGAGATGGACCGTGGAATTTGTTACAGTGTCGGGTGCATATTCCAGAGGACCTCATATTTGGCTGGTCCAGAATTCCCCCGTCTTCCGTGTAGCCCGCGCCTTCCCCATCCAAATATTTGCTTACGTCTCCTGAGTAAGTGGTCTCTTTGTTTCCAATTCTTCTACTGAGATTTATCTCATGCGTGCTGCGTTTCCAACCCATCTCGTTATTCTGTTGATCTTTACGTAATTACACAGGCGATTAATTATTGTCAAGATGCACTTCTTATTCCAGCAGATGTCGTTTCGGGTTGTATCTGTGTCGAAAAGCTGAGTGTCTCTCAGCTGGTCTTGAATCCCGAAGGTTAGTCATCGAATTCGTCCGAACAATTTGATGTCTTCGTGGCGTAATGTGGTAGTAACAACGCAGAGTGGAAGATCACCCCTTGTCGGCTCTCCGCGTCTGTTCATTCAGGATACTGGCAGCTGAACTCCATGTGTCTGTACCGCACTCTGAACAGCCAGCCCGTACGAAGCAGCGAGCATCTCGATAAGACGTAGTCGTTATCGATTTGCTCTGCGAATAAACAGTGTTTATTGCGCGTACAATATGCCTTTCCCATACCTAGCATTCCTAATTGATCATTGCTCCCAGGCTCTGACATTAAAGTACAGTCTTTGCTAGAAGTGTATGGGATTGCGCTCAACACGACTGCTCTTTAAGCCACGCCGGTGTGCATTTGAAAGGTTTTTTTTAAAAGGATGAGTATTCCTGAGTTGCACGTAGCACGCATGTAAAATGTTCGTCTGAAGAGTCCACTTCGGAATTTCTAGTGCCTGTCTCTGTGGCTCGAGGATTATGGCGTATTTACTCCGTTAGCAAATTTCGAGATTCGGAAGGAATCCCAGAGGATACGTGCTTTGCCTTCTACGTTCTCGTGAGCGTAACGGCACTGGAAATGACAAGATGGATGATGGTTTTCGGTGTGGCAGATGGACAGTGAGTTGTGTCGAGCTGTGTGATGCTGGTTGGTTTCAAGAGCCACTTCACTGTTACGTGCTTTCAGTCCTTCCGACAAAGTTCACGATTCTCGACAAACCCAGTCACGTTAATTTATTTTAAGCACCAAGTGCGTCTGTGGGCGTATGTGAATACATGTTTATGTGAGAATAAATGTGTTGGTTAAACGTTCGAGGAATTCCTATAACACGGGCATGTTACGGCTTACATAAAGCCGTCAAGCTTTATCGAAGGGTTTAATTTGCTCGTTTGTGTAAATTCTTACGTCTTTGTAGTTTGGCACGAGCAATGACGACAGTGCATGTTACGGCTTACATAAAGCCGTCAGGCTTTATCGAAGGGTTTAATTTGCTCATTTGTGTAAATTCTTACGTCTTTGCAGTTTGGCACGAGCAGTGATGACAGTTTTTGTTCCTTGTTGCAGGTTACCACAGCTTGCCGTCTCAGCGAAGTTGTTGTGTCTCCTAATGGTAAGTCCGGACTTCATATTCTGGCCTGTCCCTTGTCCGGAACCAGAGGAGAACTCGAGAGCTGCCCTCCTGTTGGGTTACGTGCACTGACGCGAAATAGAATGACATTCGGCCTGTAATCTTTGATTCATTGAAACTCGCTCTACCTCCGATATCGTTTATACTGTGTCAGATGGGTGGATGGTTATGAATAATGACTTGAGAGGAGCGTAGGTTGTAGAGGTCGTCGCCTGTCATTAGTCAGTAAGTCGTAATTTGTGTGGCGGGACTTCCGAAGGCCATGGAAAGTAGTCGATCTCTGGCCCCAGAATCGAAACCAAGTGCTTGTGAATATGTAGCAGAGAACGTAACCACCGTGTGAACCAGGTTCCAGGGTTCCACTAAAGGGTACCCGCGTTTGGAAGCGGCCTGTGTTCCCTGGGATCAGTCAAGTGACGTTCAGAAGCGCGAATCCAGTGGGCTACAGTCTCGCTCCCTCCAGCACAGTGGGGCATGATCGCTTAGCTACTGTAAGTTTCCATTCACCGTTAAATAAACCAAATTGAAGAGTTATAGTATGACGTGTGATCGGATAGGTCGAGGCAGTAATATGAGTGTAAGTCTTAGGACTAAAATAATGATTAGGAATTATCACGTATTGGAAAGACGAGAAGTGCACACAAAATTTAAATCTGAAAGAAAGAGGCCGTTTGAACAACCTGGACGCAGATAGGGAATATTAGAATGTATCTAAGGGGGATGAGGTGTGATTGTGTGGAATGAAGACAGGGACCGTGGACGGGCTTCTGTAACCATGGTAACGGAGAATTGTTTATGGGTTGTCGTATCTCTTGACTTCTGATCCGATTTGTTTAAGGGTAACCCGAGATAGTGCCTTGAAATCGTTTGTTCATCAAACGTTAATGAAGGCAATACGCAATCCGTTCAAAAGTTACTTTCCAGAGCGCATGAAGTAATCAGTTTCGAAACAGGACAGGCAAGAGACTTTCTTTCCTCGTTATGTGATATCCTTCATTCCACATTCATTCGGTTCTGAGTTCAAAAATACAGTGTAAGACTGTAATCTTGAGACTTGCGGGGTGAAGGAGGAAAGACAGCGTCTTCCTTTAACTTCCTGCATTCCTTGCAAGTCTCAAGATTACAGTCGCGTACTATATATTCAAGTTTTGAGTGAGGTATGGATGGCGCTTTGGAGGTAGCTGTCTTCTGGGTTGTAGCGCCGTGTGGTCTGGTAGAAGCTTACGGACGTGCCAACAGTCACTTGCGTCACATCGCCCTGATGATGGAGGCGGCAAGTACTTCTGAAACGTCGATGAAGGTGTACCAGACTACACGGCGCTGCAACCCAGAAGACCTTCATAGTCGGCGCCGTGAGGACCTGAAATCCTGCCTTGTGTCTGCAGGTGGTGATCTGCGGAGCTGTGCCCTCCATGGTTCGGTCCGTGCGTCTCTACAACGACTGCAGTAGCAGTGACGTGCGGGTGGACCTGAAGGGGCGCGTCCTGGCAGACGATGACAAGTCGGACAAATACCGTGAGTATCTGGTGACTGCGGCAAGGACGACTCGGACAGCTTCAGCATTGTCGCTGATTTGTGTCTCTGTGGGGTTGAACTTGAAAACTTCTCTTGTGGAAAAATATTATCGGTACGTCACATGAACTGAAGATTTCGTCAAAATCTACAAATTCTATTTGAATAATTTTCGATTTCGTGTATATTCAGGAGGGAAGTTCTAGTCGCGTCTCTAATTAAACTCCTTTAAAAACTTCGCCTTTACCGGTTGCCCATAAATTTGCCTGTAGCCCGGTTTTCTTAAAGCAGATGCCACCAGGACACACGTCCTATCGCATTCGACGATAGTAAATTATCTTCTCATGTACTCCTAAGTCTTCAGATGGTGTCCTTCAGGCTTGCCGACAAATCTTCATTGCATTTCTCATCTCTCGCCCCGCCCAGCTCATCGTACTTGTACCCTAATTATATATGGTGAACGCCATGTCCTTGAGTTTAATTGTGAACCAGGAGGGGGGACGGAAATGGCGTTTGCAGACGGGAACTGTGATGCAGCAGAAGGAAATTGGTGTGTGGGCACTGGTTTACCTTCTACCTGACCACCTCACAGATTCGCACGGCCGCCATGACGGTGAACAACGTGAATGTAATACATACCACATTTTACCAAATTTCGTCACTGCGTGTAGTGTAGTGATGCTCGTTAAAAGGGTTTCGAACTCTGCTCCGTGTGTCCTCTTGGTTCACAGACACAGGGCAAAGCTCCCTGGTGTCAGCACGGAAAGGCGACCACCTCAGCGTTGTCCAATAAAGGTAAAAAAATGAACCTGGTCATTCACTCGTGGTGGTTTCGAAAGCCCAGTCGTACAGCGCCATCGGAATACCATCGGCCCTCATTATAATATATATCGGCTCAACATTTCGTGGGTTTTACTGCACAGCTCTTCGATCGGATGCAGGTGGAATTTGCCTGCCGCTCACATAAAGTAGTTCCAGGCGACAGAATGAAAACCTTCGCCACGTAGTGGGTGGCAAACGACCTCGTGTTGGACCCCGAGCCCTGCGGTCGTCTATTCTGAGGCGCTCCGCGTTTTCCGCCCAGAAATGAAAGTAGACCATAGACGCCGTGTCACCCGAAACAAGAGCAATTATCTGGTCATTTGACGCTGCATTAATATAAAGTAAGTAGCCGATGAAAAACCTTGGGATGGGCGGGGCACGTCAGAGGTAAGAAATGATCACACAATTTTGTCGCGAGACGACGAAGAGAAAACTTCGAAGACTTTGGTATAAATCGGAGGTTAGGATTAAAACGCACTTTAAAGACGCACTATGTTAGGGGGTGGACTGGATCCAGCTGGTTGAGATTTCAGGTTCTCACGGCTGCGGGTGTGAAGATGGCTGTCTTGTGGGTTGTAGCGCCGTGTAGTCTCTTGATATTGACCGGCGTTTCGGAGTTACTTTCTGCCTCCATCATCAGGACAATCTCCCAGAAGACAACCCTCTTCTGGATTGAGGGCCCAGTGGCACGTCTTTGTAAACAGGGTATTGGACAACCACGTAGGATGTGACTTTCTTACGGCGATGAGAATCTGTTCTTGGTTTTCCAAGAAGCTGCTCATTAGATGATAAAGCGTCGTTAAATGCAGGAATGAAGAACGAAGACGTCGTGTTACTTCGCTTCCCGTGCGCTGCGTGAGTCGTGAGCCTGAACGCCGACCAATTACGTCCCTTTGAAAGAGGAGGAATTTGAACCACGAGCTCCTGTCGGCATCTTGTCTTTAAATCTATTATCCACCGATAACCTGCGTTCAGGTTTGTTATTTCTGTAGACAAAGAGACGCTCGCTGACGTTTTCCGTTCCTTTTCAACCGATCACCGAACTCCGCCCACCCCTGAGCGCCGGGACACGGAGGCAGCTGTTTCACATTGCGGGGCTCAGGGCAAAGCAGCCGGGCGGCTTATTAAAGTCGCAAGTCAAAAGGCGATTTCTTACGCGAGTGGGTGGAGCATGGATGTTGGTATTCTGGGTTCGGCCCTGAAGATTGAAGCAGTTTGTCCCTCCGAAACATTATATTTACTGCTACATTTTCTCTCATTGTGTTTTGGAGACTGCGATATCTCGGTCGGCGTGTGTCGTGGTTTTCTTCAGTCCGTTCAGGCAAATTCCGGGGCAGTGCCTCAGACTGCGCCGCGGCCACTTCCTTTCCGATCCTTTACCCATCATAAACCTATCTTGGAAACGTCGTTAAACAAGCCGTGTATTAATCCTGTCCGTGCAGACGATGGTCCGTCCCGCTGGTGTCAACTGCAGAGTGTCTGTCTGTCTGTCTGCGCTCTTTGTTCGTCCGTCAGCCCTCGCGGGGTGTTTTCCTCTGTCAGCCGATGTCTTCGTCTCCCTTGAAGCCGAATCTCAAGTCACGTCGCCCTCAAGCGAATCCTTCGACAGAACTGCCTTCGGGAATTTCGTATTTATTGACGCAAATGAAACGAACCGCTCAGTAATGAATTTCCTCTGGCTGTTTGCGTTTGAAATTCTCGTACCTCTTTTTTGTGTTTGAATAACACGAAGGCCGTTTAATTCAGAAATACGGAAACAGAATGCGGTAGTTGGCAAGGTTTAGACAACTGCAGGCATTTATGCGTTCTCTATGGGTGTGAAACTTGGTCTCTTACATTGAGTGGAAAATACCGACTGCTGGTGTTTGAGGAGAACGTTCGGAGGGAGTAAAGTGGATGGAAAAAAATACACAACGAGGAGCTTCATAACTTGTGCCATGGTAAAATCTACGAGGACGGGATGGGCAGGACATGTAGCATAGGGAAGGGGCGAGAGATTAATATAGAATTGTAGCCGGAGTACCCGGAAAGAACAGTTGTCAGGCTAACCCTGTGTGAGGACTGTTTGAAGCCGACTTCTGTACCGCACGGAGGAAACGCTCGAAAGAGCCCGCTGTGCCCTACCTGGGGCACTGCTCACTGAGACTGCGTGCAAGGAAAAATCAACCTCTTAAGACGGTCGACAGCGTGACAAAGCACTGTGAAAGCGAACAGCAAATATTATGTCACCAGTTTAGAGCTATGGAAAAGTACTTTATTCATCAACAAGTTGAATGGAATTTACAGAAAATACGTAACGATCCGCAGTCCGTGTGGCTGAGATGACGGAACGGAGAAACTGAGGAAAATGCGTAAGTTCGGGCTTCGGGATTTGAACTACTGCCCTGGTATTTCTGTGGTAGCTAAATCGATTATGACGAGATGGGCAGGGCATTTAGCATACACGTGGAAGCATGGAAGTGTATCCTTAACTTTGCTTGTGTCCTCAAGGTGTTAACTAACCCGTGGAGCACGGTCCTTCTAGAGACGCTGATAGTCGCTTAACAAGCCAATAAAATCTCCTTCTTTTCTGGGACACGGAGGTCCGTTTCGTACCCAGCTGCAGGCACTTTTGATGAAAATATCACGAGCCACGTGTAACCTTCTTGTAGCAGCGATAGAAGAGATGAGTTCGCGGGAACACATTCGAACGCGACCGTTCAGGCAATTCATTTCTTAATTATAACAGCAGTCGCTGTTTATTTAAAAGACAAACTGTAAATTCGGTTGTTAAAGAAGGGAGGGAGTGTTAATTTATTCGCAGCTGTACTCCTAATCACGGCGCCATATACTCCACTAATTAACAACTAGGTTCTGCTAGTCGTTCGTAATGAGAGGAGCTGTAGAAGAAATACGAAACTAGTTTTTGGGAGGGCGCGTGGTTCCATCTGCAGTTTGTCTTGTAGTTGTCAGGACGAACTGTAATAAGCCCTTCGGAACCCTGTGTGTGTACGACGCTAATGGAGCGGCGCTTTTAATCTCCCTGTCATGGCGCCCACGCGAACATTAGCGTCATTAAATAAACAGCAATCCAGTTCTGTGCATTTGAACCGAGTGTTAAGTTCTTGTTAGAGCATTTCTCGAGCGAGATTTAAAAATGGCGGCGGAATATTTTGATTCCGACTGCACGTGGTATTTTGTGATGCGAGCAGTTAATATTCGTCGGTGGTTTGTGCCGGGCTGTAATTCAGCGAGAAGGCTTGCAGAGAAGGGATAGGAGGATAATATTAAAAAGTTGGGCGTGCGGATGAAGACTGGTGGCAGGCTGCTGTGAAGGCAGCAAAGAACCTTCAAGAAGCACCCCTCGTGATGGTCTTTCATTAGCCCAGGACTCGGCACGAAAAGAAAAACGGAATATTTGCACGGGAAGAAACTGCAACCCTCAATGTTCGTAGTGAGGTCGGCGTAACACAACTGGAAGTATTTACCATGAGTTGCATTACCGTACTTAACGTGATGAGGCTAATGGACCATGCGGATAAGAAGTGAACGAGATTCGATTGTGCAGGTTAGAAGGGAATCTGACAACGCCGTATGAACTGCAGAGGTTCCTCTGTCTGAAATGAAGACTGGAACTAAGTGCAGAAATGCGTTTCCTCAGAGCGGCCACGGGATACAGAACTGATGGACGTAGTTCCGATTTCTTTACAGGGTCAGAGTAAAGGCGGATTCGTCGTAGAAGACGTAAGACGCTTTTGCTCGTAGCAGCTACATGCACGCATAATAGGGGTCGTGTTTTTGTCTTCTGGCTATCAGTTTATTCCAACTCCAGGCGCCACTTCGGGCCGGCCGTGTGTTCTCTCACGCGCTGGACCGCCGTGGCCTTCGTCACTTCCATGTCCGTGAACGGCCTGTGAAAATGCAAACGTCTGATGCCTGTTACGGTCCTAAGAGATGCCGTGATAGGAGGCCGGAGAGCGGCACGAGACGAGGAACCCAACATCAAAAGTTTTTAGGGCGGTCCAGTGAAGGAGTATGAGATGGGCAGGGCATATAGCACGCATGCAAACCACGTGAATTGAGTTGTAGTCGGAAAATCTGAAAGGAGCCTTGAACATAGAGGCGGTGCACAGCTCTGAAACGTCGGCCACGGCTTGGCAACCCACAAGACCCCCGGCACTGAGAACGCCAGACCTCTGAAAGTAAGAGGCCACGCGCACTTGTGTCACTCTTCCACTCTGTAATCAGCACAATTCAGTGTAGATTCAGAATTCTATCGGCTCATTTTGCAAAGCGCTGAAAAAAACACTTTCTAGGCAGAA